TTATAGCTAGCTGGAACTGTCTGATGCATTGATTTTTCCTGGCTGCCTGAACTTGTCTGTATTTATAGTGGTGATATGCAGATGTGGGTGAAAAGGTAGAAACAATCCATACATTAGACTGATGTACCTGACTTGCAGTTGTAAATGCAGCTATCGGGGTATGTATGTCAGCTCATGCTGAATACTCTTCATACTCGGTTTGTGTGCTGCTAAAGGCATCTCATAATTAGCACTTTTTTCTGTGTGTTTTGATATCAGCTAATAGAGTTCAAAAGAGGCCAAATGACCCGTGCCTGAACTGGAGGGGTGTCACCTTTCACCTTTTTCCTGTGTTCAGGCACAGAGTCCCTCTTGGTGTTTCTCTGTGACCAAGTCAAGGCCGCTGTAGAACCACAAAAGCAAATCTGAGTAGTTGCGTGAAGCCCGGGATGAAGCGACATGGCCTTCCTTATCGCTAGATCTGCCCATCAGTGGACCTTAAACGGGACGCTTAGGAGTAGATCTGCCCTTCGTTCATCCCTCAGAGAACTGAAGGTTTCTGCTCCCAAAGAAGGGATTCTGCTGTTCTCAAGATAGTTACCCCACGCCTTAGGAATTCTTTTGATATTAGCTGTTTCTGGGATTTTCTCCACCCCATAATTGTAATAAAGTATATATATTTATATTCATATGGATGTTATTCCTCATTTTGTGGGCAGTTGGTCAGTGTTGAGTTGCGTCTCAGCCCAGTCCATAATATTTCTCCCCTAACCATATGTTCCCTGCCTGTTTACGAGTCACGTAAGCAAGAGCTGCATAGCTGAGTATTAGGAGTATAACTTTGGAAGCACTGAAATACTAAGAAAGCCTCTCTACACATTAAGCGTAATAAACTGCTGATATCTGTTTACCCAGCCGGGCCTTTTCCTGGCCTTTGACCCTCGCTGGGCAAACATTTAGCGGGCTGAATGTTCTCTGCAAGGAGCTTTGGTACATCCAGCCCCCTCACAGGACAGCTACTAACAATCACGTAAGTCAGGCAGTCAGCATAGATGGAAAAACCACCACACTGACCTCATATACAGGTAGAATGAGCTTCTGGCCAGGAGATTAGGGCCCACTTTTGTCTCCAAAACCAAGGGTAGACAGGACTAGAGAATCTGTTCATACCTTTGGCATACAAAGCTGTTAGTTACTGAATCCAGCTCTTCTGTTACCTCTCGGGAGCGGTAAGTAAACAACAATGCAGCCCTTCATTCTTGATTTATTTTACAAGTAATCTGTAACCATTTCTGTTTTACCAAGCTGGTCAGACCCACACACTCATAAATGTTCTGCTTTTATATGGCACTGTAAACTGAAGAGGTCTCAGTTTTTCCATTTTTTGAATAGTCTGGCATGAATTTTACATTGAGTTTTATGCACGTGTGTCATTTTTGTAGGTCTATAGAACAAATTTGAGATATATGTGTGAAGTATCACATATAGGTTTCTAATATGACAGCTCTTTGGCCTCTACTAAAACTTATCAGGTGATTTTTCTTTTTCTTTCTTACTACAAACAAAAAGCTTATTTTTCGTCTGGGTGTGGTTAAGTTAAAAAGCTTACCTTTTACCCAAGTGTGGTTAAATTTCCCAAATGTCTGGGCACATTGCGATTGACCAGTTGCAGAATTTGTGCAGACGTCCCCTTGAAAACCTTAAAACAGCTCTGACATCCAGCGGCATACGGCATGACTCCCTGTGCCAGTGTAAGGTTAAAAACACAGCCTGCTGCTTTTTGTCTGTACAAGGCGAAATCGGTACAGTAACAGTACAGCTATTACCTACAATACAAGTTTAACATGAACGAAATCCTTGGTACCTGAGAGCCTTCTCTAGTTCCCGTCTCTGTGCCTGATTCTTGGTGATTACTGGTGCTTGGCGCTGGCATGATTATCAGCAGCTGGTCATTGTGTACGACCACATAATAAATGCTTCTTGAATAGCTGACCATAGAATATATACCCCCTTTGACCTGCTCTTTATACTTTTTTCATTTTGTTCACTGGATAGTGCAACACTCACCAGATGAATAAACCATTATGTTTTGTTTTCACATAATGTATAGTTTGTTTATATGCTGTACAGTACATGTCTTTTAAATAATATTTTAGGAATATAGTTTTTGTTAATGGTGGTTTGTAGGTTCTAATCTGGGATGTGAATACCGTTTTCATTAACGTGCTTCGATGGTCAGTCATGGTAGCAGGGTCACAGCGTGGTTTGCATCTCCAGGCTGGGGTTTACATCCCACCCCTAGATACTTCTAAAGATTAAGAATACTCCTAATGAATAAGGATACTCATAGGGATACTCCGAATACTGAAGGATACTAATGATTAAGGATACTTTGTGGGATATTCCTATACTTAGGAAGTAGGATTACAAAGTAGCACAGTGAGTGTTGCTCATTCAAAGGTGCAGTTCAAACAGGACAGAAATTGTCTTTCAAATCTTTTACTTCCCAACTTAGGTCACGCTCAAGATAAACACTGATTGATTGTGTAAATTATTGATAGCATTTATCATTAGCAAAATGCTCCCCAGTACAGAGCCTGTTCCTCTCACTGTTATGAGTCTCTAATATCTGGCCAAGGCTTTAGGTGAATTTAATCAACGTAAACATCGCTTACTTCTCTTTGTGTTCTGTTAACTTGCTTCAATTAAAAACCATTTCAAAATAACCCTCATAGATACAAGACATATATTTGCTACCCCATAAAGATTTTGATGTTTTTTTTCGTTTGCAGTCAGTGCTGATAAAGTTGTGTTCCAGCATCCACCTGCTGCTATGAAAAGTTAACATCATGTTAGCCACTAGGTGGCGATTAGTGTTCATGTTTGACTCAACAGAGCCAAGCCTGTAGTTTCAAAAGGTGACAATCTAAATAGTGGTTTTGAATACTAAAGGATTGTTTCTTCTGACTAAATAAAGCATTACAGCACTATAATGTTCATAATGGTTGCTGGATCAAAATTAAAGTTGGTTCATATACATAATTCTTGTGTCATAAATCAGTTTTTCTAACTTTATTCCAATCTATAATAATAATAATATTTTATTTGAAGCGCCTTTCAAAGTACCCAAGGACACTGTACAGTAAAAGCAAAACATAAACATAAAAACATAAAACAAATCTATATGTTGGCATTGCCATTGTGCAACATCTAAGGGAATTATGCTTTACATGCTTAACCAAACCAAAAAGAAAGTCATCCGCTATATATAAAAGTGCAATCATGTTTCAAGATGGCATTGATCACTTGCATATGAACTGAGGGACTAGCTGACAGATATGTAAAGTCACTAGCTTTGGGTGCTGATAATCAATTTTCTATGATTTGACCCACTTAGAACTCTACCATATCCAACCAGATTTTATGACTAGTTGAAATAGTCGTGCAGTACAGGCATAAGGCAATTTTCATACTTATGTAGAGTAAACATTTAAGCAGGGAGGAATATGTTGTGTACAGTAGTTGTTCCCCAAGGAAATGAAAGAAAAAAACAATTAAATCTTCTTGATTGTAAACAAGTGTTGTGTGGCAGAAATGCTAATGTCCATTTGTCTGAAACTAAAATATCTTACGGTATATTCAGAGAATATATAAATATATAGAATAAATAAATGGAAAAGTATGCAAAGTATAAAGACATATGTATCTGACATTTGTACTGTTTCTTTTGCTCAAAGGTAAATTTATCATTTGCTGGACACATGTTTTCATGCCGTGTACTTTTTAAACTCCTTGGATCATACCCTTGGAATCCTGATTCAAACCGAGTTTAAATTTGCCCCATAGTAACCTTTCCTCAAGCATGGCTCCTTATAAGAAGGTGGGTCGTGTGACATCACTACTTGAGATCAGGCCGTTCATTCTCAGCCAATCAGACTGTGCCAGGGGTTCTGGGGGAGGTGACCAATGGAAGCATGGAAAAGGATCTGGAGTCATGTGCTTACAAGAAGATATAGCCATGAGCTTCCCACTGCATCACAGTCAATGCAGCGGCATGAATCACGCATTACAGTACGGCAACAAGGCTAAGCGGATGCACAGAAATGTATATTATTAAAGACAAATTCAACTGGTTCTGAGTCTTGGCTCTTGGAAATCATAACTAACTCTCTGCAAATTGTACAACTTGTTTGATTCAAAGCAATTTCTCACTATATGTCCATGCAATAAAACTCAACGGCAACCTGTATCTTTGCTTTGATTCAACTGTCCGTAGGTTTGTCTGAAGCAAATAAATATACACCGAAATCTGTTTCCACTTTCCACTGGCAGTCTGCGATGATTTGCACCATGATTCATTGAAATACGACCTTAAGGTGCGATACGATTGCACAAAACACCGAGCTGTGGACTGAACATGGAGGACAATTCATATTTCAAGCAGGAATAATATATAACAAAACATTTCTCAGTGCTGAGTCATTTTGATTAAGTGACACCTTACAGAACTATAAAACAAACACATATATACTGTTAAAATAGTTTCTGTATTCCGTCAAGCCTTAGTTGAAATCTAATTCCATGTATTTATCAGGAAACATTTTAAATATTTGTGAGTGGAGTAGTGTATGATCTGCAATAGATAGATCTATGTTTAATAACATGCAAAAAAGTGACCGACTGCATGCATCACTTCTATTATTTGTATCATTTTCTCTTTTTTGAGTGAGTTTGGTCATGTGACTGTGCTTATGTTAATTTAATTGAATAGAAAAAAGTTATTCATATATTCTTTCCACAAGCATAATGTAGTTAAACTGCTATCATATCCAGGGAATTCTCCTGCCCTGTCCTAGATAAGTGGCTAGGACCCCAGTGGATGGATGCATGGATGGATGGTTTCGATAAGCTTCAGAAAGTAATTTCTGACAACTGTGATGAGTCAGAACGAGCCTGTGGCCCCCCGTCCTCCAATGGGGGCTGAGGAGGGTGTGCACTACCTCATTCCTGTCCGAAGAGCGTGCAGGTACACATCTGCCAGATCAGGTTCACAGTGGCCTGGCGTTAAACGCCATGAACATCATCTGTTACGGACTGGTGGCATCGCTGCTGTATTCAGATGGACCGCATGCAGGTAAAACATCTTTTCTTTCCCCCGTCTTTCACACCAGCTGCTGCTATTGAAGGCTGTAACTCACGTTAGAGCTATAATTTTTTGCATTCTTTTAAGTCTCGAAACGGGCAGCACTGGGGACACGTTTCGACCTGTACATGGGAAAACCACGGCGGGAACAAGCGCTCAATATTAGGCTGCACAGCCTTTCGCACGATGATCTAATGGTACCCATTAAAAGCTGGGCTGTTGAGCCATGTGATGTGGATGTTTATTTTCCAGTTGTCCTCCAAGTTCTCGGAAAGAAAGCTGCACTGAGCAGAAGCAAGAACATAAGACCATTATGTTTTTATTGCAGGTTGAAACGTCTTTTTATAGCTCTTTTCCTTTTCTGTTTTGTTGGCCCCGACCAGCAATAAGGCCTCTCTTCTGACACTATTCAATTGTTTCTGTTTTGCCCAATAGCCCCTCTTTCTGCGTTAGTGGAGCCCACAGGAAAATATTGTTTTTTCATCCCGAACACGTGCTTTCTTCTTCTCATCCATCCGACATCCGCTTATTCTGTACAGGATCACAATGGGCCTGGAACACATCCCATGAAGCATAGGGAATGAGGTCAGCAGCATCGAAGAAGCAAGGCTGGATGGGATTGAGGGACTTTGGGGTCCCTCACCATAATTTTCACTGGCCCACATTCTCACTGGCCGGGTCACTGGCGAAATGCAGTCCTGCGCAGTGCAGAACAGGCTACACATTCACACATTATGGCTCATTTAGAAATGCTGATCTGTGTGGTTTTGAGTTGAATCTGAGCATGAGGAGAACGTGCAAACTACACAAACACAGGTACAGAGCAGTGAGGCCGGTGTGTTTTGTTTTGTTCAATAACCCCTCGTTTTTTTTTTTTTAACAGAAATGTAAATGTAAGCTGTTAAGCCTTAAAATGTCCATCCATCCATTTTCCGTCACATTGAGGTTTGCAGGGGGTCCGGAGCCTCTGACGGGGCACCAACCCACCATGGGCCTTAAGATGTTAAATATTAAATGACAAATTTTTTAAGTTCAAAGGACGTCCCACTGTTACATTATCTCACCCATGTTCAGTTCATACTAGGTAATCCACCTGAGCTAAGCTGCTTTGGGCCTGGATGGGAGACCGACTAATGGTGCCATGCTTTGGATGAGATGTAAAAGAAAGGTTCTAACTCTCTGAGTTCATAAAAGATCCTTGGGCACCTTCTGAAAGAGTAGGGGTGGAACCCTGATATCCTGGCAAAAATGTCCCACGGTGGCCCTTTCAGATCAGGCCTCCAAGTCATTCCCTGCGTCTAATTGTTAGATTCTCTCCTGCCCCTTCACCGCCTTAGCTACAGTGTGGTGGGGGTACTGGTGCAGAACGGCTGCCGTCGCATCATCCAGGTGGGGGCTGCACAGTGGCGGCTGAAGTGGCTCCCCATTGGCTCTGTGAAGTGCTTTGGGTGTCGCCATATAAATGCAACTTTCATACTTTCAGGGTGCTCTGCCTGCAGCAATGGAAGCCCCACCGCCCGTCCCTGGAGAGTAACCTCCTCCCTTTGCTTCTGTGTGGCGCTTGATGCATTTAAATGAATTCCAGATATAACACAGCCATCCTGTCAGCCACGCTGCCAAAATGACACGAGACGCAAATGAGGTCTGGACTTGTCCACTCTGCAGGAGCTTCAGCCGCCATCGGCACTTTCATAAAGCGCTATGAGGAGCTGGGCTATGGCAGGGAGCCCGTCCGCAGGCAGCAGGAGCGCCTCAGGAGGGAGGCGCAGCCTGAGGGCCGCACGCTGCAGCTGGACTTCAGGGCCTTTCACAGGTGGGCTGCAGAGACCCGCTGGGCAGTGACCCCAAGCTCTGTCTAACACCTCTGTGTCCCACAAGTTTCCAAGATATCGCCTGAATTCCAGGGCCTTCCACTTACGGCTAAAACGAGACACGTCGGGGTTTGCGGAAAACTTCGAGATTCACCTGAAGAATGGCTCAAGGGCAACAGACCTCTCCCACATCTATTCTGGGGAACTGGAAGGTATTACCATTTCGCTCTTATTAAACACCATCCATCTTATAGCTGCTTATTATGGTCGGAGTTATGTGGGGGGGGGCTAGAGCCTATCCCAGTCAATGCTGGGTAACCGCTAAACAGCAATGTCTTTAGTATGTAACTGTTAGTAAGGGACTCATTGTGTTGCTTTCTAACTGACTTTTGGACCTGTGCTGTCTGGGACAGATGAAGACGGCTCGTCCTGCCATGGCTCCATAATTGAAGGCCAGTTTGAGGGTGTCATCCACACGGAAAATGGAACCTTCCACGTGGAGCCACTTCGTAGATACTCTGCTGTCCCGTCAGCATACCACTCTGTCATTTACCGGGAAGATGACATCGGTAAGTGCTGGATACCACAGCAAAATATTTTTTGGTAATCAGCACGACCATTGTTCATGTCGCACATCCTCCAACTGCTAATTCAGGACAGGGTTACAGTGAACATGAAACATATCTCATGTAGCCAGGGAGTGAGGGAAGGGACAGGCTGCATGCAGTCCCAATGCCTAACAGCCTGAATGCAGTCCCAGTCCATAACAGCTTGAATGCAGTCCCAGTGCATAACAGCCTGAATGCAGTCCCAGTGCATAACAGCCTGAATGCAGTCCCAGTGCCTAACAGCCCGCATGCAGTCCCAGTGCATAACAGCCTGAATGCAGTCCCAGTCCATAACAGCCTGAATGCAGTCCCAGTGCATAACAGCCTTTATGCAGTCCCAGTCCTTAACAGCCTATCAGACCTGCGCTCAGCTGTGAGCCTGTGGGATCCCTACTGTGTGTGTTATGAAACTAGTAGCGCAGAGTCCTGTGGCCCCTTCCCGTGCCACAGAGTCGCGTGGCCCCTTCCCGTGCTGCAGAGTCATGTGGCCCCTTCCCGTGCTGCAGAGTCATGTGGCCCCTTCCCGTGCTGCAGAGTCGCATGGCCCCTTCCCGTTCTGTAGAGTCGCGTGGCAGGCCGGCGTTACGGGGAATTCACGACAAGGCCCATTCCAGGAATCCTTCACTGGAAGCACGGTATTAACAATGGAGCCAAAACACTCTCCCCCCCCCCGCGTAAGTGTGGAAATGAGTGACTCTAATCAGGCTTCTGAAATGTGCAAACATGCCAAGCTCACTGGGTCCAAACTACAGAATGGATCATACTTCATGTCCAAAAGGCGGCCAGTTGCATTTTTATGTATAACATGCAGTTCCTATCATGGACCTTCTGTTGTTCTCTGTTCACATTCCCTGATTCTAACATTTTTATGTTAACATTGCAGTTTTGTGTCATTGCCCCGATGAAAGCGCTGCTGAAAGTGACAGCTGTCGTGAAATGTACTGTAACGTGCAGCTGTCAGTGTCTAGACAGGCTCCTCAATTTACCATACATCTGCTCACAAAAAACACCACACATCTGTGACACGGAAAGACACACAGAGTCAGTCCATTCACACTAGCTGTGAGCAAATCTCCATTTCAAATTCAAGTCCCTTCTGAAAAATGCCGTTACCGCATTGCATTAAAATGCTGTTACTGCATTGCGTTAAAATGCCATTACCGCATTGCGTTAAAATGCCGTTACCACATTGCGTTGCATTTATTTGCTTATCAGAAACTTAGCAGAGACTTTTGTCCAATGCAACGTACAAGTTAAATTGCAATTAAATTCATTCTTGGCTGCCGTCATAAATATGATTCTATGCTTCTGTTTATGGTACCTTATGTGTGTGTTAATGTGGGAGAGAATTTGATATTGGGGGACAGAATTTAATAATTTAAATGTAAAGATCTTTTTTTGTAGGGAGTAATGAGGCCAAATTAAATATTGAGGGGACACGCCCCCCCTGTTCCCCTGGTACCTACATCCCGATTGAGGTTAAAAACGATTCTGTTTAATATACATTTTGGGATCCAATTGTTTGTCCAGGTTTCAATAACAGGAAGCTCTTGCCATTTCTGCTCTGTTTTGGGACGTAATCGAATTGAAGTTTTCAAGTCCAAACAATCATCTTGCCCTGTTAGATTTGTTTCGGACAGTAGAAATTTTCCTGCTCGAAACTGCTGAAATGTCACCTTTCGGATCTTGGGAAAGAAAAACTTGTGTTGAACAGACTGCATGATGTGTTTGTAAATGTACGTTTCTGAAACATAAATACTAACATTTGATTAGCTCTGCTCCTGAAAGTCTAGGGCACAAAGCGCAATGGGCCTGGTTTCCTGCTGGCAGCCTTCCTTTGTGTTCTGTGAGCATGCTGGGGCAGGATGGGGAAAACCCCAGGCAGCCAGTGAGAATGGGAGGGGGGGGCTCTCCTTTTGAGGAGCACAGTGAAACAATGGCGGAGTGAGGCCCCCTCGCAGTGCGTCCTCTGCGGAAGCCTCTGAGCCTCTGATGGCTCTTTTGAAGTCACACTAGCTGCTAAAGGGTAGCTGTCGAGCATCTGGGGCTCTGTTTGTCTTCAGTGGAGAAGTTCAAGGCCCAGGGGAAACAAATATTAAATATCGGAACACATGATACTTTATTGCCAGTAGGTAGAACATACGGGAATTGATTGGTGGAGAAAAATAAACTAAAGACAGTGACACTATGCACTGATTCCCCACTACAGACATAAACCCAACAGCGAAGTACAGGAATAATCGCCAGACAGTAACTTACTAATCAATAGTAGTACAGCAAAGTAGCTGCAACACATTTACAAGAGCGAGTACAATAGCAGTACACACAGTTCACACAATACTCTACATTATAGCTTCTAAAACATTTTAAATTCACATTGATTACTATGAAATATTTAAGAAAGCATTGTTGCCAATAAAATTGTAATTTTTTTACGGTTTAAAATTTCTGGATCATTTTTTAGTGTGCAATGCAGATAATTGTAGACAAAGCCTAATATCTAAGTATAGAAATAGAAATGTATAATAGATAACTTTAGAAATAGAAAGGTTGAATAACTAGCTGTAGTAAATGCAGAAGTGTAAAAACCATGGGTGGGGGGCGATGTCCAGCAGGTGAATGCTGTAGCAGCCGAGGCAAGTATCCTG